TGGTTTTWTTTATTCCATRTAATTGTTATCTTAATTAAGTACAAAAATGGAGAAGTAGAGAACGGACTAACAATTTATAGTCCAACCACAGACGGACCATCAACGGTAAGGCCGTAAGGGCCCCTTCATCAGATCGCAGACTGGGCCTTTCGTTGCCAGTCCGACCCTGACAATATACATTACTGAACAAAGTCACGAACTAAATATATATTATAAYTTATAACTATAGTAACTTTCCACCCAAACCTCACCAGGTTAAATCTTATTTCCATTGTAATCGGTCAAATCGTATGTGTATTATGTATCGTACCTAGATGGTATCGTGACCAAAATGAAATCCACTATAAATATAAATAAATGTTTGGTTTTTTTTTTTTATCAATTTTAACAATTACTATTTACTATTAACACAGAATAATTATTCTGTGCTATTATTTATAATTTTCGTGCTAATTTTTACACTGATTTTTAATATTGGAATATTTTTAAATTCATAATATTATGCACAAAAATAAATAATATGGCTCGGGTATTATCGGTATTTATTATTTATACATAGGTATTTGATGCGAGTGATGAACACAAAAAACCAATTATAATAAAAACTAAGACTAACTTTAGATTACTCAAGCTTGCTATATTTCCAAAACTCACGTAAAAAATTGTAGTAAAATATGTTAGTATTTCTTGAGTTAAAAAAAAAAATAAAAAAATAACTATTATAAATTGTACAACTGTTGCGCTAATATTTTTTAGTTAATTTCTATCGTTTCTCAGTAATAATAATTTTTCCCATAACCTAACAAACCTCCCGATATCCACTCCTCAGAACAATTAGCTTACTACTCTTCTTCTCCATACTCTGCGAAAAATTAATCCTTATACGCAGTTACTCAATAATTTAAAATAATAACTGTATCCCAAACTCACAATTTGAGTTTTGTGAGAAATAATCAACTATTCACCAAATTCACAGACTTCCAGACACCATCTCATGACTCATACTCACTCGAAAAAAAAAAGATTTACACAGTAGCTATATTTCTGGACGTCTCGCAGGCATTCGATAAAGTCTGGTACCCTAGATTACTCTACAAATTAAAAAACCTTTTACCTTGTTCATACTACCTTTTTCTAAAATCATACTTAAGTGAACGATATTTCACAGTCAGATCCGGATCAAAACTCTCCTCCATCTCACCGATACTTTCGGGCGTATCGCAAGGAGCTGCAAGGCACTTCCATCCCACTTTATAATCTATACTCAGCTAACCAACTTACCTACCACAATAKCATAGTTGCCGAATATACAACTGAAAAAATAATTTATGCTTCTAACTCAAGCCCAATAAAAGCTTCCTCATTCTTACAAAGTCATTTAAACCTACTGTATTCTTAGAACTCTCGTTGGAGGGTAAAAATCAATGAATCAAAATAGATCCATACAGTATTTACACTAAGACACGATAAATGTTCTCCAATTTTCTTAAATAATAAACAACTACCTTCTTCATACACTGTTAAAAATCACTTACAAAAAACAAAAAGTTATCTCAACCATAGATTTTCCTTACTTAAATATAATATTCCTTAATAAATCATCCTAACTTAACTTGAAAACAACAATTTTTATCTACAATCTCCTCTTAAAACCTATCTGGACTTATTATGGCATCCAGCTCTGAGGTTCTGCTAAAAAATAAAATACAAATATTCCAATCAAAATTACTTTAACTGTTAGACTCGTCMCTAGCGCCCCTCCATACGTATCAAATCTTACTCTCCATGACCCGAAGGTCCCTTTCATCAAAGATGTGTGCAAACAACTCTACAACAAATTTCACTTTTGCTTACCTCAACATATACTAACCCCTCATTTCAAACCTCACATTCCACTCACTTCCAGTAATCCTCCCCGAAGGCTAAAACGACAATGACCAAGGGACCTTCTTGATCTTTAACTATACTCGAGAATAAATTGTAATAAAATTAAACATGCCGAAGTGCTATTAATGGATATTAAATAACGTCTTCAATCACACCTATCTTTATCATATTAATTAAGTATTATTATGAGAGGTTATTTATGCAATAATTATTCACTGTATGTGTTTAATAGAAATCAGGATTACTTTACAAGAGTACCAAGAGAAATATAAACCGGGGATGGAGGGGGAGTCAAAATATGTGATAACACAGCACCTACTATTTTGTTTGTTTTTACAAGTGATAAAAAGATTAATAATAATAAAAATAGCGAGGAAATTTCCCCCGCACCTCCGTACAGCAGTACGCCCATGTTCCCTAATATACTTTTTCAGAACCTATTATCAATTTATTATTCCTTACAATCATAAAAGTTATGGTACAAATTTATTTTTTTCTATGTGTTTTACTTTTAGTTAATAAAATATCCATATCAATAAGCTTTTCARATCCTATAACCGTGATAAATGTAAATATAATATTATATTGATGTTAAGAAATATGAATCTATTTATTTTTATATTTTGGATATTCTAAATTTATGTTTCTGTATTTGTTCCCCTTAATGTTAACCTATGAGTATTTGGTACCTACGTCATATATTATGTCTTTCTAATTATTTGCAATGTATTTAAATCATATATTCAAATGGCCACCATCCGTTAAATTTTTGAACAAACAAATACATAATCGAGAAGTACAACTGGCTCCGACTTGATAAAGTTAGCAGCTTATTGGTACCACAATTATAGTAAACACACCTGAAATATATCAAACGAATTTTTTACTTAGCGGGTAGTTGACCTCGTCAAAAAAATAAGTTATCAAAATAATTATTGGGTAGTATATACATATTATTGAGTTAACTATACAAGGGTACTGAGTACTGTCACCTGCTGTTAACGAAAACTGTTAGATATGTACGTGCCGTAATACTGTCACGGATACTTAAATCAAGAGGTACTAAAAATACAATAAATACATCCCTTATTTAACTAAGAAATTCTATGATCGTCCATCATTAGGATACATACAATATTTATGGATCACAAATATAGGTATTATGAACAATTACATATCATTTAAAATTAGTACCTATAACTCATGATGCCATTGCATCTTGCAGAATGATAATCAATAATCATAATTGTTAGTTGAAATTTTTTTATTAAAACCATGATTATAATTTAGATGTTTTGATTATTTCTTTTATTTTTCTTATGAATAGTTGAGAAGGTACCAAATATTAATTAAATTTCATAATTATATTATCAAGAACCAATATTTCACAATAATAATAGATATATTATATATACCAAAATAATTATATTGCTACTCATGTTAATAATTGAAGTCAAATTCCATAATTTTCGTGAAAAATTTAACTTTTGTCATAGAATATTCTGGCCTCTGTGCAATTTCTTACTTTCATACTGTTATCAAATATATAAGAAATTCGAAAAATAAGAATAACATTTGTTGTCATTATTTATTGCTATAAATATGATAAGATTTTTGTAGGCTTTTATACTGTTATTTTATTAAAATGAAATAACAGTATAAACTTTTCAAATTAAAATATGTAAGCATCATGAGACGATTTATTTATGTAAAAAATTATTTAAGAGCAATTGTTTTTATTGAGGCAGATATATTTAAGAAAAACCTGCGAAAAAATTCTGCCGTGTTCGTTTATGTGAATAGTTGAGTCACATAAGTAGATTCTGTAGTAGTTAGTGTAATAGACAACTTCGCTAACAAAAAGAAACAAATATAGAGTAAAAATATTTTTTAAATAATCTAGAATTTACCAGTAAATTTGTATGGGTTTTCTTCACTAATTGTCATSTGTATTTTCTATTTATTTCTATTTATGAGGATTTTTGATAACTTTTAACTATATTTATTTTTAGATAGTTATATTCAAATGCATAAAAGATAGAACTTGTAAGTTGTAACATAATTCACTCTTTAAATTTTTTTTTATGGTTAAAAATATTTTAATTAGTCCAAATTTATTATATAAACATTAATCATTATTATACAAATTTRGTCAGAAAGAAAATAAAATACATATGTATGAACAAGTCGTAATAWTGAACTGTTAAAAAAGCCTTCAAATATAGATTTTACTTGTGAGTCTCGATTGTTTAAGTTACGRAGCAGCAACCATAACGTGAATTACTACATTTTACTGAAGTAGACCTCTGCGATTTGCAAGTGCATCGCCAATTACAATAAGGCAGTGTACATTTTTCAATAGTGAGCTTTCTTGCTATAAATATGTGTAAAAAATCAGAAGTCAAAATATTCCCTTTAAAATGACAATGAATGGAATTAATTKAATATGAAATGTATGAATTGTTTTAAGATGTCTATTCTTTATTAAGCCAGTTGTTTTCGTATTCAACCTTATTGAACTCGTAACCTGACAACCAGTTTTAGTAATTATAAATTTTAGGGATTCATGTGTTCCTAATGAAAAAATTTGATTGGTAAAAAATACTAAGTATATTTTCAAAAATATACCAATTTTTAGTTATTTATTATTAGTATTATTTTTGTATTTTATTTAACAATCTAATGAAATGCATTTTTTAAATAGGTAATATATAGGTTTAGGCACRACCCAATTTTAAAGTACACGTGACCTGAAATTAAGTCTGGACCTACCTTCGTAAACCACCTTTCTAAACGGTATATACTCGTATTTATGATTATATAACGAGCTGAATAGGATTTAAGATTCAATTCAAGAACGTCTATTGACACTATTAACATTTAACGGTGCATACATAAGGGGTGTTATAAACATCTCTCTGAGATCTCTCACCAGATGAATGTGGATTGTATGATATCGGTTTTGAAAAAAAAAAATCGTTGCTATAATCATCTATTTACATACATTTTTTAACACCTCAATTTTTTTATTTTAAAGCTGTTAAAATACAAAATAACTGACTATCCACGAGTATTTATATGATATAGCCATTATAGTACTGTTAGGTACTTACCTAAGAATATTCAGTGCGGTGCGCGTACTCTAGTCCGCAAATTTTGTTTGAGACTTCCGTCAGTCGTCTMCGTCGCGCACGCATAACATACTCCGGTGCAGCGCAAGTGCAGCACGGTAGCGGGCTAAGGGTTGATTACACCGTCGACGCGTTCAGCAAAAAGCTTCGGTGGTGGCGGCAGCGTCCCAGGGCGGGTCCTTTCCCCAAACCCAGACTCGGGCCAATGGCTGAGACCGGAGCGATTTGCCACGCGCGGTCCTGCCCGGCCGACCCTTTGGCGGGTGGTCCTTAAATACCGTATTGACACCGCCACCCCGACACACTGTATCTATATATAGTACTTGCGTACTTACTCTGCAGGCCGCAGGGCTGAGTGAATCGCTCCAACCCCTCCCACCCCATTCCCGCTATACGTGATGATTTCGGAATACATTTCATA